AATTATAAACACTAAAGCTACTTGGTATAAAAAGTCAAAAGAAAAAGGATAAAAAGTCATCATGCAACACAATATATGCATGATATATATTTTTGTCTAAATACAATCAGTTTTTTAAAGCTCAAGTTGAAATAATAAATAATGTTTTATGACAAATCATTATATGGTTTATTTAGACTTAATTTCACTTTTAGAATTTATTTTTAAACAAATGGCATAATTTTACTGGGATAACTACATATAGTGTAGTATATTGAAGTTAATAAAATAACGTTGCACATAAGAGATAAAGCATAAGTCAGAAACAATATAAAAAGCTTTTATAAAAAAAAAGATAAAAATACCGTATTTCTCTAGTTTGTTCACTTGCCAATGTCTCTGATTCTTTCATATCATCTTCCTTTCCTCAAATCTTTTACTGCCCTCTCCCTCATCATTTCCAACTGGTGACCTTGCTTTCTATTTCATTAAGAAAAGAGATACATTCAGAAGAGAATTGCCAGTTTAAAGAACAATTACAAAGACATCACCCATGTAGTAACCAGTCAGGGCAAGAAATAGAACCCTTTAATAAACTACTCCTCTCCTCCCACCACTGATGACATCCCTCCCTCCATCTTAGGGGTAGCCCCCATGCTGACTTTTGTGATAATAATTTCTTTGTTTTTGCTTATAAGTTTTCTTCCTTATAAGCATCCCTAAAGAACAGTTTTGTTTTACAGATGTTTAAACATTAAATGCTTTTTAAACTTGGAATTGTGATGATCTTGTTTTACTCCGCATTGCTTGTGAGACTCATCGATATTGCAGATAGCTGTAGTTGATCTATTTTTATTGTTGCACAGTTTACAATTGTATAAATATACCATAATTTATTCATGATAAATTTTAGGGACATTCTGGTTGTTTGCAGGTTTTATTTTTACAGTTTATTAGTTTTATTGATATATAGTAATTGTATATGTTTATGGGGTACATGTGATATTTTGATACATGTGTACAATGTGTAATGATCAAATCAGGTTAATTGGGATATCCATCAGCTCAAATATTTATCTTTTTATTTTATCTTATTTTTTTTTCCGTTCAGAACATTCCAAATCTTCTAGCTATTTTGAAATACACGATAAATTGAATACTGTGGTCACTCTGTTGTGCTACTGAACACTAGAACTTATTCCTTCTCTCTAACTGTATTTTTGCACGCATTAACCAATCTCTCTTCATTTACCCCTCAGCAGTACGCTTCCCAACCTCTGGTAAACACAGTTCTACTCTCCATCTCCTTGAGATCAACTATTTTAGCTCCCACATATGAGTGAAGACATGAGATATTTGTCTTTCTGTGCTTAGCTTATTTCACTTCACATTTCACTTCACATAATGTCCTCGGAGCTCATGTATGTTGCCACAAATGACAGGATTGCGTTCTTTTTTATAGCTGAATACTATTAAATTGTGTACATATACCACGTTTTATTTATCCATTTATTTATTGATGGACACTTAGATTGATTCCATAGCTTGGATCTTCTGAATAATGCCACAATAAACATAGGAATGCTGATATCTCTTCAAGATATTGTTAAAATTTTTTTTTTCGGATATATGCCCAGCAGCGAGATTGCTGAATCATAATGGTAGTGCTATTTCTAGGTTTTTGAGGAACACCCATACTATTTTCCATAATGGCTGTACCAACTTACATTCCCACTAACAGTGTATGAGAATTCCCCTTTCTCCACATCCTTGCCTGCATCTGTTATTTTTTTTGTCTTTTTGATAATGGCCATTTTAACTGGGATGAGATGAAATCCAATTTTTGACTGTTACAAAACAGTGCTACCATGATTGATCTTGTACATAAACACAGGTATTTCTAAGGCATTTATGTAAGAATGGAATTACTGGTTTATGGAATATGAGCACCTTCAATTTAAATGGATGATACCTAACTTCCTCATGGCATGTACCAATTCACACCCTTAATAGGCAGGTTTAATAGTTCTCATTGCTCCACCTGCTGGCCAACACATGGTATTGTCAGACTTCTTAATTTTTGCCTATCTAGTGGGTGTAAATGGCATCTCATAATTTGATTTTCCTGATTACTAATAATGTTGAGCATCTTTTCACATGCCTGTTGAACATTAGGATTTCCTCTTCTGTGAAGCATTTATTCTAGATATTTATCATTTTTTTCTGTTGGGCTGTATGACTTTTTCAAATTAATTTGAAGTTATTTAATTTTAGTTCTTTCATTTTTATATGTGTTCCATACAACTCTCCCCACTTCGTCACTTATTTTTCCATTGTAATGATTTCTTTTGACTAGCATAAGCTCTAATTGTAAGATAGATTTCAATGTTATCAATCCTTTTTTATGGTAAGTGCCTTTTGTGTCTTTTCAATGAAATCTTTCTATACCTCAATATCATAAAGATATTCCTTTATATGATAACATTTAAAATTTTTATGGTTTTGACTTTCACATTTAGGTTTGTAATATACTTGGAAATAATTTTTGTGTAGAGTATGAGAATAGAGGTCCATTTTTTTCTTATGAATATCCAATTGTCCCAATATCATTTGTTGGAAAGTTTTTCCTTCTCCCATTCAGTTAGAATGGAAACTATGTCAAATGCCAAGTGTTCATACATTATTGGGACTATTTCTGACCTGTCTGTTCTATTCTACTAGTTTATTATCTAGTCTTGTGCCAATACAGCATTGCCTGTATTGTAATAATAATAAATGTCTTGGTATCTGATAGGGAAAGTCTTCCTACATCATTTTTATTGTTCAAGA